ACATCTCAGCCCGATTTTCGTTTTGGTGAAACCTCAAGTACTGGAGTCTCGAGTGTTCAACACACACGTACATGTCGACCGCGAACTCTTGGAATAGTCTTCCAGATGCTAGGATAACAGAGAAGGGTGGTCGCCTGAATAATAGATACGCAAACCAGTCTAGATTTGATACATCTCCCGCGGGGTCTAGAGAACACAATCACGTCAGTAAATGAGCCATCAATACCAAAGGCGAAAGTACTGACTGGTAGGGGTTGGGTTGCGGAAGCACTCATGCCACATTTGAGACCCGTATAAGAACAGGAGTGGATATCGAAGAGCAAAATATCCAGTATGAAGCTCCGAAATACGTTGTCGGAAACCTGAGCGTCGCACCAAGACAATATCCCGCGACTTCGCGCCTACAGTGCCGTCCCCATCGACAATCGCTGCTACCTCATTGGCTGCTGGTAAGTTATAACGGCGGTGATCTGAGCCAGGCGCTAAGACAGTCTTAATTTTCAGCGTTTTCACCACCTTATCGTTACAAATTTCGCTTGCTGACTTGAACACCTTCGCATAAGGATTGTGGCGATACATAAAGTCCTGGAAGAGTAACAGAATTTCAGGGTTGAGGTCTACGCCGGATCGATTTACTCGCAGGCGGGCCTCTTCTCGGCCACCAGTCCCATAAGTGAAAATTTGGGCGAAACCAGGCTCCGCATCAGTCACAGGCATTAATGCAGTAATGTTGTGCGATAATTGGCCGTTTATCTTGAAGACGTAATGCCCTGCTTGACCCAACGTGTTTTTGTCGAGGTTGACTCCCAAAGACGTAAAAGATAATGCATTGTTGTACTTTTGTATCTTCTCGCAAAACTTCCTCGCCTCTATGAGATAAAACCGGATCAGTACTGTACTTTACATTATGATAGAAAATTACTTACTCTCATCACTTCCGCTCAGCAGGTCGCGGAAAAAACCAGGTACCTGCTCATCAACCATGTCGGGGAAGTACTTCACCGGTAAGTCAACATTGCCATGCCGACAACAATTCCCAAATGTCGTGCGCTCGAGTTTTGCGTCGTTCGAACGCCGCTCTTGCTTCCATCGAAAGGCACCACAACCTTGACAGACGTCAGACTGTGCACCGAGTCGGAAAGGGATTTCTCCATGAAATTTGTCGAGCAAGTTCGCCTCACAACCAAACAATTCAGACCTTATGGCCGGACCCTTTGCACGTCTTCTTCTGGGCATATTAAAACAGACACGAATGAATTGAAATGATCAAGTATCAGGTCGTATACCACGCATCAGAACAGTCCAATTAGTTAGGCAGTTGAGACTCACACAACAGAGCATCAAGTGAATAAGTTACTACTGTCGCGGTGATCAAAGGCCAAGACAATCCCGTTCGATAAGGGTACTCACGCGAGCGCAGACACCCTCGCGATGTCGTCTGCAGGCCGAGCGAAGATATACATGATAATGAGCAATAAAGTGAAAAAACTCTCCACAAACTTGCGCACAGGATAAGGAATCCACATGGTCAGCGGAAGTCCCCAGTAAGTGTATCAAATTGCCACTGATGTGAAATCCAAGGTATTGTTGTACCACATTGCAGAATTATTCCATGCCTGCACTGATGTGGCGTAGGATCTCCAATCACCAATCAACATTTAGCTCTGTGGTTTGAAAACACAAACAGAGGGAATCGACACCACACGATAGTCAGGCCAGGAGAATGTTCAATCCTACACCACATTCGAAGTAAGGAAACATTCGAGCAGGTTCCACAGTGTCGGATTCGATGCGAAATCCACCAAGCCGGATTGTCAGCACAGAATCAAGGTAAACCGAGCCCACATCAAATCGCTACAATTTTTCAACACCTTATCTGAATACCAGGACGTTGGGCAAGAGCATGGTTCTACAAAACAGGAACAGTGTGTTAAATCAGTTATTGAGCCAAAACTTTGTTTGCATCATCTGCAGTTCGCGCGTGAGACCCACCTTGATATCCTCGCGATTCGATCTCAGTACCTCAATCCCAGACACAGACACCAGACGGCGATGATTATCCGTGACCGCATGGGCAATGCCAAACAAACATTTTGCGATAGCCGGGTGCTCGGAAACTTGAAAACCGAAATGCCACAATGCGAGAGCACGCATGAAGTCAACACGACATAGGTTGGAGATCATTTTCGCTACACGAGCCTACCAAACGCCGAACGGACAAAGAGGCATGATCTCGAAGAACCAGCCACTCGTGGCCCCATTGTAAACCTTATAAAAGCATCTATTTAAATGAAAGACAATTCGGCACGGTATTAGCATCCTTTACCTCACGCATCATATTGTGACAGACTGTACATGAGCAGAAATCACCAAAGTCCACTCATCCTATCGACATCTTTCAAAAAAAATCTTTAGGCCGTACAAAGGCAAAGTTAATATGGGGCTAATACCAAATCAAGTGTCGGCTATGGAGGTGATTCATTCTCTGGATCACCACTTTTTACAAGAATACGGAGTTGTCAAATGGACAACCCTTTCGTGGTCCAAGCACCACATTGCGAAATCTGTGCTTGCGAAATTGGTCGCAGCATTTGTTAAAGGTCAGCCACCAAAATACCGGTCATAGCCAAAACTTACCCCTGCGTCTTGTCCTTAGAATCAGAAGGTGAGGCTCTTCCAAGACACACAATTGGGACTATTGTTGGTTATGCACTTGGTCCTACGTACAACTACACCATTCTGATACCTTACCACGGCAACCCAGAACTCTTGTTGTCTGAGCACTGATTTGTGAGTAACTCACACACACGCATCAGCGCGCCAACACAATGTAGCTAAATCATTATCACGCACAGATCCAAATCCCATGTAGTTCAATTTCGTAGCAGTTATGTAATGTTGATTAACCAGCCGCAGTACAAATTAGTGATCATAACATTATGTTTCATAAGTTGTCAGTTAAAATCAACAACACAAGAGTTTGAAAGAACACCTACCCTCCTAACCTGGTAGACATGCAAATCACATTTTGTTATAGCTTTCCAAAAGTAATCTTTGAGTCTGTTGCGTCCTGACCAACAAGGTGTCAAAGAATGTAATCACGAACTCTTCACGTCAAGCCTGTGCTTTGTTAGAACTGCCATCGCGAATGCGCATGATCTTGACTATTTTCCCTTTAGAAGGACTCGTATCACCTCAGGCCCAAACGTTAAAATCACGCTATACAGTTAGAAGAGCGCGAAGTTAGTTACTCATAGAAAGGCAGCTCTGAATTCACCCACGCGGTGTGAATCAGCTCATGATTGATCCAGATCACTATTCTTGCACGTTTTTATTTTTGGAGCGTGCACACATTAGTCCAGCGTTGCACAGACGCCAAGCAATTCACACACAAGGGTGCAAAATAAGACTACAGTTGTCTCTGAAATAACCCATACCTTTTTATGGACCCCAAAAGGTATGGGTTTTCATAGAGTATGTGTTATCACAATGGGCTTTTGGGCTAAAAAGTGAAAATTATGGACCAAAAAAAGTATGGGTTAGGCAAGAGTATGTGTTATAAGTGGTATGGGTTATTTCAGAGTTGACTGTAAACGCAGTTGGAGAAGATGTATGATGTTATAAATTTGAACATTATCGCCATGCAGAACCCTGTTATAAAATTGGAACAATCATTCTAAGACAAACAGTAGTGGAGTGAAACTGACATATAAAAAACTTCACATTAAATAATTGAACCCCAAGAGCAAAACGTCACAATAATTTGATCATCGCGCATCACGAAACAACATTGTTCATGGCCTCCAATTTCTGTTTTCCATCGCCAGGACGTCCTCAACGTCCCTTACTTTGCGATCACAGTTTGATACATGGTTCCATTGATCCTTGGTCCCCAACTTTACCGCCGCGCGCGCCATTGAGTGAGTAATCTGAGAGGAGCAGCCCAGGCGAGTGTACCAGACATCCTGACCGCACGGTCCTTTTCCACTCTGCTCTTTAGAAGGCAGGGTGTGGTGGAAAGTTGATTTACCGCTCCAAGCAATCTGGACCGCCGATTTGCCTCCAAAATTAATTGCAACTCGGTATTCTGGAAAAATAAACCAACCACCAATAATAACAAAACCTTCACTCTCAGTAATTATCTTACCGCTAATACTATCCAACGGATACCACAAACAATATACTTTTCCTTTATCGTTATCCGTGTGTGGTTTATTATAAAAATTTCCCAAGGTGAAAGCAAAGTTCGCAGCAAAGTCGTGAGGTCCCAATGGCTGAAATTTCGAAATTGAAGTCATAGAGGGCGCTCTAAGGTCATTTAGCTGCTGCCGCGCGATCAGGAATCCAACATCGCAGAAGTCAGAGAAGCGAGAGCCAATTCGCGCACCAAAACCAGGCAGTCTGTCGAGAAACTTTTGATAGAGAGAAGAAGATGATCCCTTGGGAGGCAGATAAGGAGAGGTAAGGACGCTAGAAGAATACCCCACCGTCTGACCGAAGCAGTGCATACGTCCATGAATTAAAGCTCCATTCGTAGTGACACCACTCTTAACTTCCACAGTAGACACCATTCCATCATCTTCAGCATCCGAAGGTGGAAGCGAAGTTAGGGGTGAAGATTCGGGAGAAGAAGCTGGAAGTGGAGTTAATGGTGATGACTCCCTTGATTGGTAAGGGCTGAGCGGCGCAATCGGATTGCCACACTTGGTCAAAAAGTCGGAAGGCTGGTATAATGTAGACAGCGCTCGAATGCGCTCAAGCGAAAACTGTGCATTCGGGGTAGGCAAGCGTTTGAAAAGTTTCATCGACATCATTATTGTATCTACGTCATTTTGATGATCCTGACGGGCTCTAGGGTCCATAGCTTCTAGGTCCTCGAAGGCGAAGGTAAACACGAGCTTATTGGAATGCCGATCAACATATTGACCCCGCCCATGAGTAATGATCGTGTATGTATTAAAGATTATATCCATAGTTCGTTGATGGTTTTCGAACGGTAGAATTGGGTCGTCATAACGGGTGACTTGCTTATCGTATGTGCTCAACAACCGATTAGAAGAATTTTTTGACTGGTCAGTTTGTCAAGCGTCATTAAATTTCCGCGCCCTTGCCGCATGTCGTCTAAAATTGAGAGACATCTTTTAGATTTATGGTCCACCAGGAGAAAGAGAAATCGTGCTTACGTGGTTTCCTTACCACTTGCCTTCCGAACTATGGGTTTAGCAGCAGGCACACCTTCTACTCCTTGTTCACGATAAAAATCCATTGCTTGCTGCCTGTACATTATCCCAAAATTTAAAAATTATTATCCACCTTTCAACGTTGCCAAGATGGCCAGCAAGGAATACACACTTGACACCCCCCTTTCCGGAAATGTTACCCACTCCAAGTATTGCGTGCTCACAGGCCGAATGGAGCCAAAACTTAGGACGAGGGAACCCATCTGGCGCAAGGTATTCATGTGGTACGTGTGAGTAGGACTTCGGAACTGTGAATGGAGGCGGAAGCTGAATAAAGACTCTGGAATGAATTAGCACCCAGCTTGATGCTTTCGAACGAAGAGATCAGTATCATTCAGCACCCACATCCTCATCTGTATGCCCGGTTTGCCTCCTACCATCTATGACTTTGAGCAGGTCTGATAGGTAAGTGACCCCAGGGAGGGGAACGTTTCCACTGTGCTCAGTAATGAAGTAAGCAACCAACTCATCGAATTACAAACCACTGTTCTCACTTACGCTTGACCGGCAGGTGATCTGTCTGGGTGCTTAGCACGTTTGTGCTTTGGCCAATTGTCGGGCATGCCGGACGATATCGTCATGTGGACTACCTAACACTCAGGATGTCAGGTAACACAGGTCAGTACACTCAATTCTATGTTCGATGGGGAAGCAGGAAAATGACAACACCCGAGGCCACGGAACAGAGTCGTGCAAGCTCAATGATGGTCCATGTTCTTAGTACAGCGCGCTTCAAGTTGTACAGAGGCTATCCACACCCTGCAGTAATGACATTTTCCGCCCTTGGCTCACAGACTCCGCTCCGCTCCTCCCAAATACCTTGGTTCAATGATAATATCAAGCGCTTTTGAAGGCGACTCACCGAAATCAAGATTGAAAACTGTTTAAATGATCTACAAAAAGGCAGGAATGCATGCGTTAGTAAAACCCACTGATCTAGATTGGATAGTGCGTTAGACGCAAAACCAAAAAACAAACATTATGCAATCGTGACCAGAAGCAACCCAGAGTGAACCCACGCGCCCTGTTTGATGGAGTGATTAAGTGCTTCTTGGACAAACGAGTTCGATGACAGGTTACGAATGGGAATGCTATTGGGCAATTTTGAGATATAAGCACAGCGTGGGTCGAAACGGATTTAAGCAACGGTTACGATAAGGCGAAATCGTATAGTGAATTCCCTGCAAACTGCTATCAAGTTAGGAAGTTAGTAAGGACGTTAGCGGTAGGCAACACCGTAGGAGCAAGATGATAATGATGTAGGAATAGTGGAATGTGAGACGCGAGATCAAATGAAATCAACAAAGACAGATTCTACGCACAGACGAGTCAATAAATGTAAAATTTACATACATATGTACCGGCCTTTCTGAAAACTCCAAGTCCATAGGTGATAACCTCAGGCACGCATGGCTGATCTTGGCACAACCAAACTCCACCGCACGGTCAGCCGCGGTGCACCCGCAGATCACACCGCATTGATCTGGAAAACGCGTGTTCAAATTACTAAGTGCGCTAAATTCATTTCCTCTCAATACAAACTCAAACCATCAAAAATACACCCTCACACTACGCCAAACTACATTTTTTCCTAGGGGCATAGAAAAGTACCGTGCACATAGAAAACACTACTTTTCTACTCAGACAACGTACTTTTCTACACTCATACAATAAATTTGTGACTATGTATAGAAAAATACCTATTTTGTGTCTCGCGCTGCCTCTCAACAAATTCCATGTTTGTACTCCGGCTCGTTGCAATCCCTCAACAAGGGTCCCACTCTGCAACTTATTTCACCCTTCACCAGACCCTCGAAAACAACAGTGGTCGTGCTGATTGCTCTGTACAACGCCGTGCATAGATTGAATCAAATGATGATGTATGTAAATGGGACGAGTGATGTGTAGTCTTATGTAGTCATACAAAGTGATCCTGTATAATCTCATTTAACAAAATGGCTCAGTGATGATCAAGTGACCCTTTTAACTCCCGTCGGTCGCCCCCTTCGCCACCAAGCTTAATGGATCGCAGCCTTTCTTTGTTCTATGAGTCATCTACACTCCCTTCGATACCCTCCGAGATCCAAGCAATTCCAATCCACCTGGTATGGCGCGTACGAGTTGCACCTTTGTAATGTATGTTCCTTTCATCGTCCCTAGGTCTCATCAAGTTTCTCGACCCTGTAGCAAGATATAAACTGTCGTTTCACTACGAGAATTGATCAAGCTTGCTCGTCCTGTCTTCGCGTACTTCTTGTCTCGACACAACTCCCCACGTAGGCCACTTTTTAGTCTTGCTTCACACTTTCATTCTTCTACTCAATCACAATTCTTGCTCTCACATTCCTCACGCTCAATATCTCTCTAATCATTATCTTCCTCTGAACCGTTTGCATCGCAGCTATCAATCTTCATCTCATATTCTAGTACCTTTCAAGATCGCGCAGCGGTAGGTGCGGCTCAATACCCTGCTTCATTATCTTTCTCTTTCCGTGATGTGTTAAACAATTGAAAAATTAATGAGTCTGTCTGCACATTCACGTGTCTCACGGTTATCTTTTGGATGGTCAAGTGTTGTAGTTTATCTTCCCAACAACATCAGATCGTGTCGTTTGGATTTATTCGGTTAGAGATGTTTGATCCCAGTGCACCCGGTGTGACAAAACAAATGATGTTGGATTGGCTACGTATCAATCATCCCAAATCTCCAGTCATATCAAGTACCCGCAAGAGCAGTGTAGCCGAGATGGTACGGAAGAAACAGCCTGAGTGTAAGTGTATTTCTTATATTGATGAATAAATTCCTATCTTACGTATCTCATGACAATGCATCCTTAAAGTTTTCCCCAATCCACTGAGCGATGCACCAGGAGTGATGCCCAGCAGTTCCAATACACTGAACGAACTCCAAACGACTATGCCTGGTAGGCTTTTTATTTCCAGTTTGTTTCAATCCGATTAACAACGTGTTCTGACTTTTACTTGCGTCTCTCCAGATTTGCCTCAATCATCCCCTCAGCCAGCAATCGAAGCCGAGCAACCAGTCAATCAATCTGATCCCTCCACTTCGAGTGATTTTGGTAAGCAACTTGATTGGACTCCTGTTGATATTCATTCTACAGTTCTGACGTGTGAACTATACTTCTGTAGCTCCGCCAGTTTTGCCTCAAGAGGTCCCCAAGCCACCGATTGCACTAGAACGCAAAGTCAAGCGATCTGGTTCCCCAGCCTCCAGCGCAAAGCCCGCAAAGCGTGCCACGTTTGGTAAGTGACCTGATCTCACACCGGTTCAATCATGATCTCGCGATTCTGATAGGTGATCCACGAGCTAGCTCTGCCACCAGTCGTTTTACCTCAAGAGCCCCTACAACTATCAATTCCACCAGAACGGGAACGACAACTCAAGCGATCTGGTTCCCCCACTGCACACAAGCAGCTTTCCAAACGTGCTCACTTGGGTAGGTGTTGTCTCCACAAATATCATATTGAAATACAAATGACTCATGCCACATGGCCATTGTAAATCGTACGTACTGTTCATCAGGTGACGAGGGACCGCCTCACTTTCCAAGAAAACCTTCAAAGAAAGAAACAAAGGTCAGATTATCGGTTGCCCAAGGTCCTATTCATACTAACTAAGCTGTTTATCATCTCTTCTCCCATAACTTATATGATTACAGCGAGTTGGAAAGGGCTATCCTTTCTCACAATCAAGCAGACCTTCGCATATGGAACCACCCAAGTCAACTCCAGCTGTGCACAACTCACGTATCGACTTATTGGGTAGTGCCAGCACGGAGGATCTCAAAGCCTTACAAGTTTATGAATTGGAATCTATCAAACCGTCAAAATCTTTAAATGAAATCCCTTCGAGCTCAAAGATGACTGGAATCAATGATCTTATCAACCATCCAGTGACTCCGGAAATGAAGGATCTCATCGACCTCTCAAGTGTGGACTTGCTTGGTGTTGAAGACCTAGGTTAGTGATAATCATCAACATCCACATTCAAATTTCACACACTAATACTTGCTCATGAGCAGCTATCACGGAAGACATACAAGCACATAAAAACCCAGCATCAACAACTAAGTCTGGTGTCGATGTCTTCCAAGAAGAAAGACACCGTGTGGAGATCAGTACGTACTACTATGCTGATAGCCAATGAAATATATACTGATACGCCGACACAAGCAGTTTCTACGCTTGAGACATCGGTCTCCCAGCTAATGAAAAGAGTCGAAGTTATCGAGGAAACATCAGTTGCCAAGATCATGCATCATGAACAACAACGATATGAGCAAGGTGAACTTTGCCATTTGAAGTTGGCTGAGATCTTACTGACTCTGCCCATCATTTTTTATAGATAAAGCACTCAAAGATGCCACACGTCGTCTCGACATTCAAGCTGAATGTCTTGATCAACTCAGGGATACGGTCTCCAGCTTGAAACAGCAGCTGGATCTTTTGCATCACCGATGCAGCAGATCCGAACAAGACATTCGAACCCAAGAGAGGTGTATTGTACAGCTAATGCAACATGAAAGAGGTGATGATGAGTCAGAGAGTGGAGTGGAGTATAATGAACCTGGAGTTGACTCCCAATCTGAATATAGTGATTGACGAGTCATATGCCACAGGCGGTTTCCTGAATAAGCTGCGCTGCATGTCTTGTATTTTTTCTTCTGTTACTTGGCCCTGGTGGCAGAAGTATGGAAGCATTTTTTTATTATTACTTTCTTGTGGTTCCAGTCTTTTCAAATTTACTTTCATATCGTGAAATAGGAATTCAACGGCAATGCTAGTTTACCAATTCAATAATCTGATGGTTTCTATTTTCTTTGAGTTTCAGTTTTTTCAAAGTTACTTTTACCTTGTAAAATATGAATTCAACGGAAGAAACACTGATTAAGTAATTCAAAAGTCTGAACCAAGTACAGCCATTTTGTTCCATTGTGTGATATACCTCCACTCATATAGGAACAGAAAAATGTGGGTTATGCCCACAGATACCAGTCACCAGCAATAGCACAAAGAGATGTAGACCAACACGCATGACACATGCATGCACATTCTTCACTCAATTTAGACTTAATGTTATCTGAATGCTCATACATTGTGCCCTTAAGAAGTGTAGCACAGATGGAAAGTTTTATTTCACGATCAATGATTCATTTGTATGTACATGAGCTTGTATGTGCACTGTGATTCACTCGTTCTCTGGCTCTATCCTCATCTAAAGTAGTTCACAAGGTGTAGCAAATTATCTTACTCAGCGGATTGGGTCTGATCGCATGAATTTCAATCGACAAGCAAGGCACGTTTGGTCTCAATGGTTCAGCCATTCAAACTTTTTCTAGCTTCACAGAGACAGAATAACAAATCTATGTTTCCCAGAGCGACATGATATATTATTATAAGATAGGAAACTTCCAGCCAAAACCTACATCTCAATTATGCGAGGTCGAGTATCGAGGTGGCTCGAAAT